TACTACTACTACTAGTAGTACTATTAGCACTACTAGTACGACTAGTCCTACTACTACTACTACTACTACTACGACGACAACTACCACCACCACGACCAGCCGAGTCTAATCTTGACTATGGTATTGATGCGAAATTTCGCTTGTCAAGCTGTGCTTCTGTGCTACGTAGGAAAGATTGTCAAGCTGCGCTGCAGGGAAGAGTCGAGGAAAATTCAGCCGACACCTTTTTGTCCTCCCGACCCTTCTGACAACTTGTGGCCCAACATTGGCTAAACCATACATTTTAACCTCCAGCCCAGGAACGCAAATCCCGTTCGGATCCAGGTGCCGGGCTGCATCGCAAGCTTGGGACTCATATCTCTTTCGTGCAGAGCCTCAGCTTGGATGCCCTGAAGGACGAGTGGGTCTCACGGATGCACTCATATTCCAGGGGAAGCTGCGTAGTATGCTTGCATGAATGTCTGCCTGCCGACCTAGCTACCCGCATACATACATACATACATACATACATACATACATACATGCATACATACGAATGTAAAAGACCTTTTGTCTATAATTTTGTGCGGTCGAGACCCTGGCGGACGACGCTCACCTTGCACAACTGCATGCATGAGTTCACGTCCTTGTGCCACCAGAATTAGCGGTGGCCACCCGGAAAAAGAACGGTGGAGAATAAGGGAAACGTGACAACTGCACAAGTCAAGGTTCCCTAAGGCGCCAAACCAACCCGGTATCCTTCGCGGTGAAGACTGCGCAAGGATCCTCAACATCCGGGGTGACGGTTTCATCGGTGAGCGACCACACGAGCATCTGCACAGCAACGTGCAGTACCATCTGCGCCATCACATTGTCGGTCGCGTCGGATGCCTCAACAATCAGGCGAAGAATCTTGTCAGTCAGCATCTTCACGGACATCAGCACGCCACCGCCCCAGCGCCGCACCAGGGAGACGATCGACTCCTGCTGGATGCTATCGTTGGAAATCATGCGTTTCATGACGTCACTCTGGCCTTACGTGTGCACATATGTACATGTTGAGGAACAGACAGACGGACCGACGGACAGACGGTCATACGGACATGCGGACGGACGGGCGGACGTACAGACACACCCACACGCACATACTGACCTACTTACAAAATACACACATGCACGCATATGTACATGCATCCCGACATGTCCAACCAGGCACAGATACTGTAGGTTTGCAGTCGAGCTGTTTTCACCGCAGAGCCTGTTTGGTGTCCGGGAGACTTGCAGAGGTTCAGCAGCTCCTCGCACGGGGCAACGCAGCAGGGGCCGAGCGCTTCGAAGCGTCGCTACCGGGGTCGTGGACGAAGCCGGAGGCATTTCGACGTTCCGGGTTTCAAGGTTTAAAATCCAAGGCCTAAGGCGTGCAAAGTTGAAGTGAAGAGTTGCGGATTCGGGACGTTTCTGGGAAAGGGGTCTTAGAAGGTGCGAGAATTGCCAATTAAGATCATATGTTTGGGACTTTGTCAGATTCCCCCGCTGCATGTAAACGTAAGTTGAAGGACATGGGCCATTCTTGTGCCGTGCGAGTTTCGGTGCAAGAAGATATCAGCTACTACCAACTCAAGGCTCGAACAAAGCCAGTTTTCAGTCTCCAAGGCTGCAGGATGTGCTGGGAAACTCCGTAAATCCCAGTTTCCACCTGATGCAAAATCTCCTGACCGGCAGGACAGTGTCATATCTCAACCCAAAGCACACCCTGCATGGTTTGGTGAAGCCTAGCAGGAGAGTCTCATCACACCCCATCCTTCAACCAGTCCTCAGCCCTAACTCCGGAACCCTTGTAGAGGGGCAGTCTGCTGCCCCGGCTCTCAGGCGTTAAGCTCCGGTGGCGACCGTATCGACCCTGCGAGCGCATACCATCTTGACCCTTGGCCGCCCGTGATACTGTTTTAGGGCTTACAGCTTAGTGAGCTGTGGTATATGGGGCTTGTTGCTCGACTTGTTGTCTGTTGTTTCTATCCTTGTTCCTGTTCGTAACCAGGACTGCGATTTTTTTGCTGTTCCCTCACTTCTAGCAATGCTGCCGTCCTACCATTAGGGTTGCATGGGTTGGTAGTGCTATGACGATGGTCAGTGTTATTCTATGCGGATGCTACAGCGAGAAGGCTTAGCTCATCCTCAAGCCCAGAGAGTCTGCAGGGTTTGGGCGACCTTCCGAAAACCGGGGACCCTAATATAGCATCCTCAATAGTAGGATCCCTAATATACGGACCCCCGAACCAAGGTACCCTGTATTTTCGGAAACTCCCATGTGTCTCATTGAAGACGCTAAAACTCGTAGAGCAGAGCAGCATGGGGATCAGAGCTCTACACTCTAGGCTGCAGCCCCAAGCTCATAAACCTCACAGCCTGAACTGCACCCGTAAACTAGAAGGCGTGAGCATCCGAGCTTTGCGAGAGCCCGATAGCCAGGAGCAATACATCCGGGCGAAGTACGAGCACAAGCTCTTTACAACAGAAGGAGCGGAGGCAAGGGCCTTGGAAGGCAATACGGACTCGCGGTTTCAATCACTTTCGTTCGAGTTCCGGCAGTGCTGTAGATTCTCGGTATTTCTATCGAACGGTTCCAACAGGTATGGGCATGAACTGAGTACTACAAGTGGCGAATCTTAACATCCTTAAGCCGATACGTTTCGTGAGTTATTTGCTATCAGGTTCTCGGAATTGGGTACCTAGAAGCAGGCACTCTCCAAACATGTTCCTGTACAGCACATCCTCCCAAAAAGCGCCCAGTGGCCGGAGTTGATCTCCGAACAGCGTTCGGTTGCAAATCACAGTAAGCTGCCTCGACGCGATGCTCCGGTCGCCATAAATTCATGTCACTCGTAGAACATGGACCGCCAAGATCTGGATGTTTACAGAATCTTTGTCCTCCAAGGCTCATATTTTCCCTAATTAAACTTAGTTAACGGTATCTAATACTTACCAAGCTAATGCCCTTATGCGGCATGCGAGCAAGATTGACTCTTTGCAGCATTTACGGCTGAAGACCTCAGCTTAGTTCACGCGGGGGCCGCAGCATTTTGGAGTGAGCTACATAGGATGACATCCGGGTGACTAGGTGCGGGATGCTGCTCAGCGTCGGGGCTATCGTTTGTCAGAAGTTCAAGTCCGAACCATGTCTAGAACGTCTCCATATGCCATGAGAAAGCACGAACAGCATTCCCTTATGGTTTGCATGTTATCAGCATAACAAGCCCCCGAAACCGCCTTCTAATTTTGGAGGCTCCTACATAAGGCACGAAATCATCTGCTGAGACCTTGGCATCAGGGCCGCACGAGTCGCCATGCTTTGCCGGCGAGGGACCCGTCTTCACCAGCTTTTGATCCTGCTCGCCTGCATCTTTTGGCAAGGATCCGCTGCGGAGACCTGACATGTCAAACAGGTTTAGGGTTCAGGGCTTTGGGCTTTAGGTTTGCAAGCCCAACTGGTAGCAAACCGCCGTAAAAGCTTCAGCAGACCAATACTTGGGAGCTGAATCCGAAACCTGAGGCGACCCCGGAAAGCATCGAACGTAGCGCCACAACGGCCTTGATTGTTGCCCCTTGGATCTGCACCATGGGGGACTTTTGCAGTTCGGGGTTTCGGCTGTTACGGGTCTAGGTAAGGTTCGTGGATGTAAACGGTTTTGAGAATATGACGCTCAGGGTTTGAAGGTATTGGCGTTTGAGGTTTAGGGTTTGAAGGTTCTTATTTTTTTTCTCGCAGCTTGGGGTGTTTGACTGTGTAACCCCAGCATTGCATTTGCACATATGAGAAGCTGTGTCAGAACAGTGAGACTGTTCCTCAGTCATGAATTTCACAATTTGAATCATAGCTTTTACACCGACACGCTGGTCTCCTAAGCCCTCAGTGCTAAATCCGGAATCAAAAAGATCGAAAGCCGAGAGCGCTGAACGGCCTAAACCCTCAAACTCATCCATACAGTACCCTGAATGGAAAGCCTTAAAGTAATCCGACGCCCTCAGCCCTGAACCCCCAATGCCTTATAGAACCCTTATAGAACCTTCATCAATCACGAAGGCCTTGGTTTGTATTCCGTTCTTCCTCGTCTTCTGTGTCATTACTGTGCTACTGTGCTTGGAGCCGTGCCCGAAGACACTGGGCCTTGTGCGGATTTTAGGATCAGCGGTTTAGGCGATTAGGGCATAGGCATAGGGTTTAGGGGTTTAGGGGTTTAGGGTTTTGCGAGGCTCTTGGTGCTTCTTTGCCTCGCCGAAACAACATGCCGTAAATCTCCACCCTCTCATGCGCCAACCTGGAAGTTCCTTCGCCAGCTTCGGGATGGTTCATATAGGGGTCCGAAAAATCAAGCCCAAAAGTACTGTACCAAGACTCCCCAAAGCACATTGGTCTTCTTAGAATTTCTGTAGGGGTGCAGCCACAGCCAAGGACATGGATCCAGGAGAAGGCGGGTTAGAACACGAGCCTAGGAACAGCAGGACAAATAATGGTGCAGCCCAGTAGCAGTGATAACCCCCAAGCTGAATAACGAGAATACACTCTAGAAGCTGGTTACTTCAACCTCTCCTGAGGCCGGTCTTGGGCGTGGGCCTAGGGCCTAGGGTTTGATGTTGGGGTTTGGGGCCTTCAGGGTTCAGGTGCTTTGCATCCCTGCACCGAACCAGGTGGAAAGCTGTGCTTGTGTCGGTGACCGTCGCAGGGGCTTGGGCGGTTTTTGCCGCTTCGTCTGGAGCGGCTTCCTCTTTGGTTTATGTCCGACCATCTGGTTCATGGCGTCGGGCATCGAAGCTGGGCGAAGATGGAAAGCCTGTTGTTTGTTCAAGAGGGTTGGTAATCCCAGGAACTGTAGCACTGTAGCACCCCAGGCAGATGCACTGTAACCAGGCGATACTACAGAGGGTTAACTTGTTACAAGTAATCATCAGAACGATCAGGCAATCCCGAACCTTAAATTCCGAGCCCTTAGGCCTAAACCCGAAAACCACATGCTTGGCAAGGGCTTTATCGTGTATGCCAGTGAAGTGTGGCGGATGAACTGCAGCACTCTTGCAGACTTGCAACCTTCGCCGCTCGGAGCGAAAAGGTTCCGAGAAGACAGCGAGACTGATCGACAGCCATGGTTGAGGGGCTGTTTATCTTGCGCCTCTGTGTTGAGGAATTCTGAAGGTGGCAGGTGAGCTGAGGACGGTGCACTGGCATGAGTCAGAGATCCTAATTCTCCTTAGATAGGGAGTAGCATTTAGAGTTTAAATCGGTTTCTAAGTATGAATTCGGGATTATTTTTTAATTGAGGTTCCAGTCCACCCAAAACAAGCAAGCCACGTCGCGCAGACGATGTTCAAGATGATGGTGATGATGTTGTGGATAATTACCGATGATGATGATGATGATGTTGCTTTGTGAGGTTGATGAAGATGATCCCGAGGATCAAATCATCTCAATATCCTGAATGATTATGAACAGATATCCATAAATACGTCCATGTTCGCAGTGCATCTCCTATGCAGATCATTCTTTTTCGAATCCCTGAGGAACGAGAGCATAACGAAACAGGTTTTGTGCTTGAAGGGGTACTGGGCTCTCTCGTCAATTGGCAGTGTCCTACTTCTAGTATTTACTCTCACACGAGGCTGTGCGCTGAGTGGAAGCAGCCCTATGGAGAAGGGTGGAACGCCGCGGAGTGTTGCAGCAGCCTTTAAGCCCAAAGGGGCCCCCTTTTTGGGATGCAGCATTTTCGATGTCCAGGCTTGAGGTTCCGAAGGAACCATAGCTGCCAGAACTGTCTGCACCGCGAAGTTGAGTGTACTGGGTGCTGCTTGAGCGACTTCCCATTTTCATTCGGAGGCATTTGCTTGTTAGTTAGGCTGCTCAATCAGCAATACTGGGTGAATCCGATGCAGCGTGGATCCGCAGTTCACCCTTGAGCCTTTGGCTGAATTCACGATTTGCAAGCTTGAGGCTAGTGCCTTGATCAAGGCACTCAAAAGATCGCCTGCATTGCAAATAGAAGCGCGGACTGCAGTCGTGTCATCATTCCCAACCCGGATATCACAACCCATTTCCCAAGCTATGAGCAACCCCCATAAGAGCATCCGGAACCTTTAGCAAAGATATGGGGCATCCTTTGTGAAGGGATCCCTTTTCTGAGAGATATTGTTACCCTTGTAGCGGAGCTTCAAAACACAGCATGCTTACTAAATACTTGCATCATGGTCACACCATCTCTTGTTGCATTGCACAGGCCTGTGTACGACAGTCAGGTAGCATGCAATGTTCTCCTTCAGCCCCGCCGTGGCATTGCAGAGGTTTCCGAGTCGCCCTTCTCACGCCGCTTCACGGTGCTGCTGCGCCGCCAAGGCAGAGCTTGGGGTTGTTGTTAGTTAAGCCGTTAAGCCAGTATAGCCGTGTGGCTTTGGGAAGACTTTGGAAGACGTGTGATCCTTGTCTTTTTTTCTACTAGTGTTGTGGAAGGTTCGAGAAACTACTCGAGCAGGATTTTAGTCGAGACGTGCAGAGTCTCGTCGTCTCTGCCAAAGAGCTGAGCACGGCAAGCCCGACATAACTTAAAAGGTTTCCCGGTGCCTGTCTTGCAGCATCGCCTGGGCTTAGCAAAACCTCCACCTACATGTTTGATGTGGTTATACGCAACAAAACATTGGCTTCTTGAGTTCCGCATGAATGAAGATTGTGGCAGCCAAGCACGAGCTACGTTCTGACATGTTTGTGTGTGTGTACATGTTAATCGTACATCTACCGAGGCATACTTTTGTACATATGAACCACGTCCTATGTGTGTGTATATAGACGTATGCAACTAGTATAGGACAAGAGACAGCTATGATTCTTTATTATACCGATACACTGATGATGTAAATTGTATATTCTGCATTCCGTATATATCTACAGTATTTTATACACTTATTTGACCTCGTACTGGTTCAGGTGGCGAGCCCTTCGGCCTCTACCCGTCGAAGTCAGCGCTCCGCCACGGAAGCCTACAGCTTCGTGCAGGCGGCCCGGGCTGCGCATCGTTGGCATCAGCATGAAATGTTTAAGTTCATTTCTATATACTATATACTGTATAAAGTAATGCATTCGCACGTCGATCCCTTTGTGTGTGCATGCATGCACACGTACATCTACGCGTCTAATTATGCATTCAGCACATGCGACCGTCCGTCTGTCAGTTTCTGTTTGTCTGCAGACCCACAGAGACACGTTTGCCATATATATATATATATGTATATGGTTGTGTGGGCATGTACGTGTGTGTGCGTGTACCTATGTATAAAGTGTCTGTGTCCGTGCCGGTGCCCGTTCCATTGAGAATGTACGCGTATGTATGCGTGCATGAACTCATGCACGCATGTTTGGTTGTGTGCTGTGTGTTAATTACCTGCCCACCCCGTTCGGTATTGTTTCCAACCCCTCAAGTGGGGAGATGACCCGTGTTCTATACTGGGGAGGATGGGAGAGGCTCATGGCAAACCGAAGCGCCCCAACCAACACACCGAAGTACCGCAGAGCACACGGAGGAGCCTTGACCGGTTCCACAAGGGCAGGTAGGTAAGCAAGTAGGTATGCATGCAGGTCAGTATGTTTGCCTGTATGTCTGTATGTATGCTTGTATAGTCCAAATTTTGTTGCCGGATTACACGGTTCGCATCATGTCATTTTTCGTGCGAGTGTGTACTTGCAATTATATGTGTTGCACGTGTGCAAGCAGGTGTGATATATATATATATATACATGTGCGGTGTGCACGTATGTATACATGTGTACTGCATACTCGTGTGTGTTTTATCTTAAACATGCCCGCGTGTCCGGCCCGCATTCATCCTCAGTCCTGGCTATGGTAGCGAGAAGCAGCTCCTCGCACTGAGGTTACGGTTCTTTATGTTCGAGGGCCATGACCTTGGAACATGACTTTACCCCATAATTTTCAAACTCAGCGCAACAAAGAGTGTGATCCCGGCTCTTCTCTTGCAAAATCTTTCCCCTCTGCCCCACCAGATCCTGCACCTGGCACCGCGGCCGAGCAGTGGAACTTAGACCGAGCCTAAGCCAACCTCACAGTGTGGTTTGAGCTTGAGAAATATTCCAGACTCATTTATAGCGCGTCTGGAATTTCTGGATGCCCTGGGATCAGAAAAAGCATGTGGACTTCCCGCGAATTGCTCCTGATTTCTGTGTAGTGGCCTGTTTGGCACCCTGGTATGCTTCCTGCCAAGGCACAAAACAATCCGATGCTTCGCCTCCGTGTGCCGGCAGCAGCATAGGGGCTTTGGACGATCTATGCCGTGTGATGGCTTGTCAGTCATTCCTAGCCTCCATTGCTGAGTATGCACACACAGGAAAGTGAGGCAACAACAACAACGACAACACCAACAACAAGCATATTTCGTGTCAACCACAGCAGCAGCAAGAGCAATGACGTGGACAACAATGAAAGCAGCAATTCTTGCCGTCTCTGTAACCAGAACGATAACAGCAGTGATTAGTAGTAGAAGCAATCATAGCAATAACGGTACCTTATCAATAATGTACGTGCGCTATAATATTAATGGTCCGGTGTGTCTGTGTGTATGCACATAAACACAGGTTGTACATATACAAGAATGCTCACAGCCATACACCACCAGATTCTCAAATCCAACATCAGGAAGCCCCAATTTCCAAATCCTGGCGTCTGAAAGGTTCTCACTTAGCCGAGGAGAGGGGGACTATGTGGTGCGTGTGAACGCCTCTTCTTCGGGGTCGGAGGGTGGCCTTGGGGCACTGAAGCAGCTGCAGGAGGAGCTTCAGGCCCCAGTACGGGCGAAGAGGGAGTTCCAGGCTTCGGGGATTTCAGGTTTTTTTTAAATTGAATTTGGGGGTTTGATGTTCAGCTGGTTGACATTTGGGATTCAGTTTTGGGCTTCGGTTTTGCGCAATGATACCGCAGCAATGAGCAGGCCCCCATATACTGAAGGACGACAGCATGCTTCAAGCCTGCAAGACTGCAAGACATTGTTTCGACTCGGGAGAATGACGGTCAGCATTCGACGACCGAGAATGACACTGATACTGCTCATGGAAAGGACTTCTAGACTGAAAACATCGCTGTAAGAGACCTTCATGCACGTGCATATGTACACAGACGTGTACAGGCTTGTACATGTCTGATCTCTATCTCTGTGTGTGTATGTGAGAGCCATGTGCAACAATGTACACATTCATGGGTACGAGACGTATTCGAATCAATGCTGCTCATGGAAAAGACTTTTAGACTGAAAACGTCGCTGTAAGAGACCCTCATGCACGTGCGTACGTACACAGACATGTCCACGCTTGTACATGTCTGATCTCTATCTCTGTGTGTGTATGTGAGAGCCATGTGCAGCGATGTACTCGTTCATGGGTACGAGACGCATTCGAATCCATGCTGTGCCGGTCCGAAAGTTCGTCGCACCCTATAACTCTATGTTGTTCACTTACAACAATCCTGTCCAAGACCCTTTCCCCCTAGACTCCTCCACAAGTCCTCCGCCCGGAACAGTTATGGTATTATAATATCATGACGGGGTGATAATTCCTCCACTTGCCAGGCTTGGGTATTTCTCACTCCCGGTACTCCGCGTACTCCGTTTAGTGTCTCTAGCGGATGCGACGAAACTTTTTTACCGGGCATGTACTGACATAACCCCACAGGGCTCCGGATTGCAGGTGGTGCTGGAAGTCGAGCGGCTGTGGCCTCCAGAATTTTTCAGCCATCCTGCTGCAAGAAGCCTCACATCATCGTGCAAAGGTGTTAGGTCGCACTATTGACACACGCGCTCCTGCAACACTCCACCCCCTGCGTTGTAACCAGGGCTTGCCGTGTGTTGTGCGTGCTGCTGGCCCCATCCGAGGTTATGCTTGGATGGTTCCGGCTGCCTACTTGTTCTTCAACCCAGCAAAGCTCAGCCGCATGCTTCATTGGTTTATCGTTGTTGAGTTGCTTGCACTTTGCAGAAGCAAGCGTGTCACTCACCGTCGTAACAGGAAGGCTTTCCACTGCTCCTACGATTGTGCCTAGTGAGACTACTAGCATTCCTACTACTACTACTACTACTACTACTACTACTACGCTACTGCTACTGCTACTGCTACTGCTACTGCTACTGCTACTGCTACTGCTACTGCAACTGCTACTGCTACTGCCACTGCCACTGCCACTGCTACTGCTACTGCTACGGCTACTGCTACTGCTGCTGCTACTACGATGACGACGACGACTGCGACGACTAAGACATCGACACTCCTACGACTACGACTGCGACGACAACTACGACTATCACGACTACAGTATGTCGGCGACGACTATTACCACTAAATAACTACCTACTCCTACTACTACAAATACTACTACTACTACTACTACTACTACTACTACTACTAAGTGGGTGACCAAACTACTACTGCTACTGCTACTACTACTACTACTACTCCTCCTGCTGCTACTACTACTACTACTACTACTACTACTACCACCAGTACTGCTACTGCTGCCGCTCCTGCCTGTGCTTCTCCCAGAATGCAGTAGACGGACGTCTGGTTTGTGCATGTCTGCCCGCGTCACTCCCACGTCACTCCCGCAGCCGTGCGCAGCCGAGCGTTTCGTGCTTTGAGAGCCCATGGATCAGATCAATGAAGGCGGGCTCGCTACTCGACAAGCCCTTTGGTCTCCCCTGTCCCTCTCCTTCGCAAGGCGTTGTTGGCGCTGTTTCCGGCGCTTGCAGCAGCAGCACTACGTTCGAAGGTTGCCGGGTCCCTGGTTTCCTCCGTCGTCTCGAAGTTTTCAGCGTTGTTTGCCCGCGATGAATCATTAAAGGTTGTCTGATTTGTTTTCTTGAGGCGCGTGAAGTGTCCGTCCCTTCTGTTCAGAGCATGGGCCTCAGTTGGCAAGGGATTCGTCAGTGTGTTTGTAGTTGCCTGCCAACACCTAGAAACAGGGGTGGCACTGAGGTATGGAAGCAGCAGTTGCCCAGTTGATCCAGCACAAGAAGGAGCCGGTCAGTCAGGAGCCCCCAAGAGCATGTGCCAAAATTTTTTCAACAGCCGGCTTGGGGCAACACTATATTGCTGCATGTTTGCATTGATTCTTGGAGCGGCTGATTGGAGGAGCTGGTGAGCGAAATCAAAACGCTCCTGGAAGAGCCTTCCAGAAACACTTAGCACTGTCTTCAGTCAGGCAGGATGAGACTTGTTGACTGCATAACCCGATGCGGCACAAGCAGTTTTTCCCACATCGTTCTTAAATTCTTAATTGATACGTTGAGAAGCTCCGACTTAAGGACACGGTGATGCCCCACCTGCACCAGCAGCGGCAACACATTCAGGTGCCATGGCCGTTGTGGCGTCGTTTTTCGGTAGAGCACGACGGAATGCACGGCGCGGGGTCTGCTGCCCTTTCAAGGCACAGCTTGATGCGGCTTCTCAGCACTTCGAGGAGTGCCAGGCAGCTTTGCGAAGCAGTCTTTTCCCTTTCAGAGTTGCCGCGATGCTCGTAGGTGTTGCACATTGAGGCCGCAACGCCAGAAAGGGAAAGGACTGCTCCGCTCCGTGCAGAGCACGAGGGCTGCCGATATGCGGAGGCTTCTCGGCTGTTGAAGTTGCCCAGGGCTGAGTGCTTGCTGCTTTATTAATGCGCTAGGAAGGGTTTTAAGGGTTTTGGTTTGTCGAGCCCAGTGGACAGTGGATGCTCTTGGCTGATGTCGGAGCAGGTGTACCATTTAGCAGAGCCAGACATCCCAATGTCCTTCGAACTCTGTACTTGCCGTCTGGACCTGCTTGACCCAGTCAGCGGCGGTGGACCAACATGCAAGCTGCATCTCCGAACTGGAGTCTCTGGAAGCAGCGAAAGATGAACACTGCCGTGGCTGGGCTGATGCTGCACGAAAAGGTTGTCGATGCGGGATGTTGCTGTTTCCCCGAGGTGCTTTCAATGAATTGAATCAAATTCCGGAGGCATCCTGTGGAGTGCGGAGCGGAGAGAATGCCACAGCATGGTATGTGGCTTGACCCGTCTACAGCTAGGTCCCAGTACGGGTGCACGGGCTGCAGGCTTCAAATGCAAGAAAGCAGTAGTAAGCCTAGTGCCTAAGGTTCGGATCTTGGCCGAGCTCCACTGGGCACAAGAACGTCTCGTGAAAGCTGAAGCCACATGCAACGCAGCAACCTGGTGAGAAACCGGTTCTTTATCAGTGAAGATGGTGAGGTCACTGGCAGTGCAAGAGTGGCAACAAGACCTCTGAGGGTAGCCTGCTAACTTGCGGGCCTGCATTGCTTTCCTGGCCTAGATATGCCTTGGTGCATGCTCCTTGCAGTCGACTGCGCGCCGAGAATCGCATGCTCAGATGACTGTTGCGCAGACATGACGGTGTTCTATGGACTACACACTCAAGACTCTTGATGTCAATTCCCTCACCCACAGATTTTAGCCCCGGGGTCCTTGGACGGCTCCTCCTTGGGTTAAGGTCGCTGGGCAGGTCCCAGGGGCGGCACTTTTAAGGGTGGTGGTTTCGGAGTTGGTGGTCCGTCACCACACCCGATGAGCACCTGTCCTAGCATTCAAAGGTTGGTCCAAGGGGCGACCGTGCCGGCTTGAACTTGCCTTTGTTATTCCTTGTCGCTTTCTGCGGCTTCTTGTCGTTGCCTCTGTCTGATCCATCTTCCCTCTTCTCCCCCGCCTCCTCCTTGTAGCTTTTTCTCGTCGTGCCTGTGCCGCTTCTCCAACGCTTTCATCCGGAAGGGTTTGCCGCAAAATGACTGCGAATGCGTTCGGGACGCTTGCGCTTGCAATAGACCTCTACCTCTTCGTGCAAAAGCTTGTTGGTGGGCTTGCGGGGGGCACCCCCGGGCTGTAATCACTGGAATCAACTTCCACGTGTCGAAACTTGTTGGTGGGTTTTCGGGGGCACCCCCGGGCTGCAATCGACCTCTTCGTGGCGAAGCTTGTTATTGGGCTTGCGAGGGCACCCCCCGGATGCAATCGACCTCTTCCTGGCGCAACTTGTTGTTGGGTTTTCGGGGGCACTCCGCGGCTGCAATCGACCTCTTCGTGGCGAAGCTTGTTTGCGGGTTTGGGTAGTGTATCCCCGCAATCAGCTGGCATGTTATTTATCGCGTGTGGGCTATAGGTTTGCTCTTCCTTCTCCTCTTGTCGGCTTGATCCTCAAGGGCCGGAGGTGATGCCGCTCTCTTTAGGCCAGATCTTCGGGCCTTGGTCGTCCGTCCAATCCAATCCACAGATGATAGATGTTCCTTGCCGCACCCCACGCTTCGCTCAGGTGAAAATCGCCTTCACCGACCCGCTTAAATTAACACCGCCGATTTATCCCACAAGAGCTTGGTCAATTCAAGCAGCCCTTCAATCGACAAGGCTCATCCGATACTTGAGCTAGCCTTATCCAGTGATTGGTTGTCCAGTCTGAGAGGAACTGTCCCTGTCCCGGTTCAGTTTCGCACATGAATCTCCGCATAGCCATGCAGCCCATGCAATGTCCGAGGCACGACTCGCACACACAGCGAAGGTGGGCACCTGTGCCGACGCGCAGAAGGCTGGCGCGCAACTTCTGTTCTGTTGGGAGAGCTTGCACGTCGAGTTTTCTCTCAGGTTCTGGCCGCTCTCAGGGCAAACTGCAGTGCAAAGCAGCTGGCCCTGGACCAAGCAGGCTGTGACTTGTACGACTCGGCGCTGGCAAGCTGCAGTGCAGAGGCCACAAATGGGAAGTATGCAGCTGCCCTGCTGTCCCGGGCGGCTTGCTTTTTGTTCAGGAAGCATGCTACCAGCAGCGGCGCAGCAGCCACGACACGCTACTGGCGAATGCGCGCGACCAGGAGAAGACCCTCAAGGCGAGCAGCTGGCAAGTCCCGGAGATAAGCATCAGAGAGACTTCGCGGCACCCAAGGTCGAGCTTGAGGCATTGCTGCGAATGCAGTGTCTGCTCGAGACTCTCAGCCATCGCCACATCGAAGCAGCAATCGACGAGTGCAAGGAGCAGAGCCTGTGCTATTTGATTCATCATGCATCTGTGAGCCGGTGTGCAGGGCAAGAAGCATGACACCGAGAATATATCCCTGGTGTATCACAACATCTCAACGACTTCGAACTGCAGCGTTCCTGGACAGGTTGTGGCTTGTGGCTAGAACTTGCTAGAAAGACTACTTTCGGCACTTGTGAATGTTCGCCTGCGCAAGCAGGAGACTTGAAACCAGGCGGGGGCCGGTGTGTTTGTACTGCTGCTGGCACTGTTTGGCCCTTCTTCGTGTTTCTTAATGCCTGTATTTGTCCAAGTACTGTAGTCATCCAGGCACAGTGGCTTATGAACGACGTCTTTTCGCAGCGTTGCCTGACGTCGTGCCGAGCCGCTGTGGCGCCACATGCTGTGTGTCACAGCAGCTGCTTCCTGCGGCGCCTGTGTACCAGGCCCAGAAGCCGTAGTTCGCTGGCACAGTATTTCGTCGTCTCAAATGTGCTGGTTCAGTTCTTTTCAGGTGCGACTCCTTTCTGCATCCGTCCTTGGTCATTGCTCGCAGGCAGTGCGCCAGTGCTACAGCTTCCGAGCAGCCTATTCACCTCCTCTGATTCCGGGAGAAGAGCGGACAGTTGAGGATACTGCGCAGGACTGCCAGCAAAGGCCCCTAACATGTGGTGACAGCATTCCATGGCAAGGTCGCTTGCAACCACGATTGCGAGGTGCAAGCGGACGGTGGGATGTGGTGGCTTCAGCTACACTTGGGATGGAGGCTGTTTTGTCGCCCACCGATCTGCTACGAAGGTGGGTGCTGTTCTGCTAGTCGCCGAGGGCAAGTTTCAGGTTCGAAATGCAACACTTGTTTGACCTCGTTGTCGTGCCAGATCTTTCAGCCGGGAGTCGTTGCTGGCCCCATGGACTGCCTTGGCATCCCGAACGAGCCCTGCTGCCGTTATGCGCAGTTGTGGCGAGGTATACAGTTGTGTGAATTCAAGCTGTCTTAAGGCTTTAGCCGCAGATATGCTGCAAGGAATGCTACGGCTATAACAGGAAGTTCACACCAGAGCTGGATGGTCATGCCGGCGGTGCCGTCAAGGTGGCCTCCGAGGAGGAATGCCAGAAACGTTGCTTTGACACCGTGGGTTGTGGGCACTGGGCTGCCTGGCTAAAGATCGCAGCGAGTTTATCACGCCCTTGTTCCATGGTATTCTCGCGGCCTCTGCATCTAAGATCCTTTGGTGGGACATGCGCTGCCACCTAGCAGGCAAACGCTTGCTGGTTCCCTGCTGTTGATCGTGGATCTCATTGCGAATGCACGTAGATATTCCTCACTGCTGTTGCAGTCAGGAGCAGATGCTTCGATGAGCTACGAGCCCGGCACCGTCAGTGGGCCGTCACAGTGTGCCCAGGGGGTGAGTGTCGTCACCTAGATAATATGCCGGGTAGAGGATTTGCCCGTAATTGGTGCTATAGTTGTCGCAGCCAGCCAATGTTTTCACTGGTAGAAGGAATGACCCGGAGTTTTGGAAACGGCTGGCTCGTTGCATCTCTCTTGAATTGAATTCGGCAACTTGTCTGAGCCGCACTTGTGAAAGAGCTTGGGCCAAAAAGCCCCTGAGCCAAACGCACAGAGACGTCTTCTCGTTGGTGCAGGGCTGTGGCGGTCAGGCTTATGGTCACAACGAAGAAGAGTGGCTCAGACAAGGTTGCGTTGGCCAGACGAGAAAACTGTAAAAACAGAGAGTCATGAACAAAGTCTTGCTGAGTTTAGCTTAGTATGATCATTCTCATCCATCTCTCAATCTCCTGCACTTCTCCTGATTGGAACAGTATAGTGGTTGGTCAGGCTTAGAAGTCTGCAGGAGGGGAATTCGCTTGCACGGTGTCCGTCACGGAGTTGGGGCCCACGGCCGCGCGCATAGCCATTAGGTGTGGTGTTTGAATGCCTCAGAGTAGCTGCCTCCAGCTACAAGCGCAGGGCCTGGGGTCCGAGAAGCTTCACTTCACCGGTTTCTCTGTTGATAAGAGTTTGACACTTCCCTGTGCTGCACTGCACCGACACCTGCTGGCGAGGTGCTGTTCGGGCATACCGAGTATGAAAGGGTTCTGGCCGGCCGCCGTGTTTCAACAGACACCAAGTTGAAATTGAGGACGGTGTGGGCATGCTGCTGGCAGCAGGCCGCAAACAGATTGAGATGTCTCTCTCGCCAGCAGCTTTTTGTGCAGTAGGCAACAGAGAAGTTTGGCGACATCCCGCATGTTGAGAAAAGGAGCACGCCTAACTCCACTTTCGTGCCAAGCATTCAGCAGAAACCATGATGGGAAAGTTGGTCACAGCTTTTTCTTGAAGCCGCTGCACACTCACGGATGCATCTTGCCTTGCTCATATGGCGTGAAGAACCGTAGATTCGTAGATTCGCAGGTCAAGCAGGCAGGTCGCAGGTCGTCGGTCGGCCACAGCAGTGGCAGGCTTCGTGTTACGTACAGATGCCGCAACGGCCGACCCATAGCCATGTCAGCAAGCCAGCGAGCATCGACTGGAGCAACGGTATCAATGGCAGCGGCACCAGCAGCGGCAGTAACAGTAGAAAGACAAGCAGTTGCTTGTAGCACTTCTTGGGCCTCGGCTTGTGTGGTGTTGCAACCATGGAGTCGGAGTCCTGCGCCACTGAATCGGACTCGGACACGGTGACAAACAAGTGGATGCTCGGACGTCAAGCCGGGCTTGGAAAGGCGTATGCCAAGGTTGTTAGATGGACTGTCGATGTCGCCGCCAGTTCCTTGCTCTCTCCAAGCCCCCACATCCAAGGGCGATTGATTCACAGGACGAGGGCGAGGGCTAGTGATCGCGTGTTGGAACAGAGGTCATGTGTTCTTTCTTCGTCTCTTGTGTCCGTTGCTTTTCAGGACAGTGATCTGAAGGAGCTGGAGGGTCACAATGGTGTCCGCTGCTGACAAGTTGACTGACAAAGGTGCTAGAAGTTGCCGCGACGAGCCTGAGGTTTGGCTGACTGCCGGCATCATTGTGGCCGATGTCGTTGGTGCGGGTATTTTGGCCATGCCCCTGGTGCCGGGCCAAGAAAAACCCCGCATGAAAGGCATTCTTTGCTCGCTGTGTTCCTGCTCCGAGGCTATGGCCAAGCTGGGGTTGGTGCCTGGAACAATCACGCAGTGCCCTCAAAATCGGTAGTGTCAGTGACCCGAAGATCACCGCCTCAGCCGAAAGCCTTTTCCTTGTCTACAGCCTCGTTGTCCGCACGAACCTGCATGTCAAGTTTGCCGTATTGCATCGGAGCTTCAGAAGTGTGGAGTGTGACAGGTGGCTAAGGTGCAGGCGCATTGTTCATATGAAAGCTCTCGTCGAAGATGATAATGCGACGAATAAGAAGCGAGGCATGTTGGACTGTGGACGAAGCACGTGGGTTGTGCTGCAGTTTAGGTTATGGTACTGTTATGGTATTGTGTTGTGCGTACGTATGCTGTTCGACTGAGTCTAGTGGTGTTGCTGCTCGCGAACGTGCACATCTCCATCCTGATGTGGCGGGTCAGGACCGGCACAGTAGGGCAACTGCACCATGTAAGGCAGTCTTTTCCTTTTTGTTGGCTCTTTGTGACGAGTTGGTGGGCCATACTACACAGTAATTGTCTTTCGGTCTATGTCATGTGTCTATCTATGATTGCAGATAGCTTCGCGATGCATGCATGCATTCATGCGCGCATGCCCTCTCTCGCTCTCTGTGCGTGTGCGTGCGTGTGTGTGTGTGTGCGCCAGTGCTCACATGTTTGCACTTGTGTTTGTCCAGCAACAATAGCCCCTGGCATCTTTCTCTGAAGCTACAGTGTGGCTGTCGTAACAACAGTGCGCATGTTGCATGTGCTCTGACTTAGCAGATTTGTTTTGCGGCAGGATGTTCTGCCCGACCTGCATCCGCTCCGTGACTTTCACTGCTACCCGTCATGCACCCGAGCCAGAAAGCAGGACGTGTCAGCATTTGCTACAGAGCCAACAGCACCAGCAGCCTCGGCGGTGTTTCGGCAGCCCCCTCAAATCTGTAAGGGAACTGGGACTGGGCCACCTGCTTTTTGAGAGGGCGCAGTGAGCAATCGAAAGCACCCTTTGTCCGAGGAGTTGGTGCGGGATTGCTTCGCAGAAGCTCCCGCCTGGCAGCGACACCTGAAACTTGGCATCACAGGCGTTCGTCGGCTGTGGGGACCTGCGTATCGCTACTGTCTGTAGACGTGCAAGTGGTCCCAGGATGGTAATCCTCACCGCAATTTGCCAGAAAAGCTTCCTCTTTGGCCTCCTTGCGGTCTATTTGATGAGTGGGGCCAAGGGCCTTGGTATCCTAGCTGAAGAGGAGATTCTCCGACAGTCTCCTTCGGGTAGCGGCTGAACTGAGGCATGATTCTACACGACGTCAAGCTTTGCTTGCCAGTGTGGGCAGTGCTGGCAGCTCTGCTGTGGCATGTCGGCACAGTATATAGAACAAGGAGATTTGTCGGCATTGAATGATAGATTCCATTCTGAGTCTGGCCTCCCGCACTCTGGCATTACACATGACGGACTTGTGTTGTTCTTGTGCAACGTATGTTTGCCGAGGCTACTTCCGTTTGCGGGAACTGCTCGACACATGGGCTCATGGCAGTCTCTAGTTTGGTTGAACGTCATCACGCTTTGCGGCACTGTGATGTTGCCTGTCGGCACAACAAGGCGGTTTCATCCTGTAAAGCCTTTCGTGGTGGCGGAAGCCTCACCTCGGCAGCTTGAGGATCCCACTGGGATACTATGGCATCGTTGGCGTGAGTGGCATTCGTCTTCCAGGAAGCGAAGTCGAAGTCTTCGTCGATCCAACGTGCAGACCTCGGATTCCGATGCCCCGAAGAGCCGCCGTGAATGTTCCAGGTTTGTGCAGCCCTGATTAGGTTTAACGACATCTTGAGCGCTTTGTCAACTTTTACCTTCGGAATGACCTCACAGTTCATGCTGATGGACGCCCGCATGAAGTTCTCATGGCTGTGTTCCCTGCACATCACCTACCGCTGAAAAGAGACTCTCTGTGATCAATGTACCGTGTCGTCCTGGAACATCGCATTCCATTCGATGACATGCAGAGTTTCTGAGATGTGACAGCACGTCACCTAGGCCGCAGTACTTTTTGCTTGCAGGAGATCATATCTGAGATGAAAGTTCCCATGCATTTGCCCAAAGCCTATGTGTTCTCCTCAGCTTCGGCGACATTCGCCATCTTGATGCCATCGACTTTCATTGAACCGAGGCAGCCATCTCCGCCCCCTTCCAACTGTCCATGTTTGCCATCGCCGGGATCGGTGGCTACATGTTCATGGGCAGCAAGGCCGCGTCGGATTGCAAAGAATCCTTGTTTACCTTGGCGCCCTTGTTCAGGTCTCTGGCATGATGCCACGCGGCTGTATTTACTGTACTCAGCCTCTTCCGCTACGGCCGTAAACAAATGTCGAATCTGTTGTAGGCCAGTGTTGCGGCATGTTGAGCCGTAGTCGGATTCTTCTCGCGCTCTGCACACTGCCACAAGGTCACATCTTCATATGCAGAAGCACAGTGCAGTCATCTAAGGAATGAGAACTTGCCCTTCGGGTTGCCGTTTCAAATCGCAGCGGGACACATAACTCTTGCGTTAGCGACGTTGCGCCCGTTCTTCCGAAGCGCCTGACCTGGAGGATGCATGGCAGCCCACATGCTGATCTCCTACCTCATCAAAGGCCACATGGGGTTTGATTTCTCCTTGGTTTACTGTCGGCTCCTTGAGGCAAGGTGGTACCTTTTTGACAGCTCCAGTCTTGCCTATCCAAGCGAAGTGTCCTCGTGGCCGTGCAGGTGTGGTCTTCTGCAAATCCATCCATCGCGTTGTGGATCGAGAATTCGCATCGGCCAGCGACACCAGAACGCGCTCTTGGAAACTTTGTCAGGATCAACACGCTGTTTGGAGAGCCATCTGCCAACCAGACACCCTGGTTGCGAGTGGAGTGACTCTTTGACAGAGCTGAGGATTGGTTGGACGCATCCTGGCCTAAGACTGCTTCATCCTTGAAAGAAGTGAAGTTGAATGACTCTGCAGACTTTGGCTACTTGATGCTTGCTTTTGGGAGGGGATTCGGCAGGGCACGCAAAGCCTACACTTGCTGTCGTTCGAAAATCCGTCCTACGAAGTATTTGAGAAGACTCAAGAATTATTCCCACAACGATCTCCTGATGCGAAGATGCACTGGTTGATATGTGACAAGTGGAAATTGAAGCTCCAGAATGTGATCTTTCTCGCAAAGATCGTGCTTGTTAAGTAGCTGTCATCCTTCATTCCCGAAGCCTTTCGGCGCCCCAGGACGACGGTAGTGGCGGTGCTTTGCATCTGCTGGCTTTTGGCAAACCTGGTGCCCTTCTTCTCTGATGCCGTGGACCTGCTGGGTGCCTCTGTGACACCGCCACCCGGGCTCTATCAGAGCACCTTTGTTTCCGAGATGCGGAGCGTGTGCAACGCCTGCCTGAGGATCTCCTGCTGGCTGATACCGACAGCTCTGTACATCAGGCGTGTTGGTTGACTAGGCCTAGGGCCCTAGGCCGGTTGATAAGGCGAGTCGAAGCTTCGCGCTTTCTACCGCGTGCGGTTGCAAATATTTTTGGATTACCTGGATCCCGCCGCACAAGGTTCTACTGGGATTATCCACACTTGCGATCCTCAGGCGGGCATTGAACGTTTCAGTGTGGACGGCAGGAGCCATGTTCTGGCAGCATCCAGTCTCAGGTCACCCCTGGTTGACCATCCTGGAGTGGATTGTCATAGGCCACAGACTGGGGTTGCATGCTTGACATGTTCGCACCGCTTGGGGATATGATATGTGCCATGTGAACCGGGCTGTGTGGAGAAATTTTGCAGCATCTCGATCTTACATGTTGCATTGTGTCGAAATTGACACCCATGGCGGCTCGGGAAGCCCACTTAGCCGCGCTACTCGTACCGAGACGGTTCGCAAATCCAGAACGCATGCCGATGAATCCTCTGAGCTAGTGAGCAGCTAGTGGAGCTGATATTTCCTTGGCTGTTGAGAAGACACGGCCTCCGACAACGAGGCGAAAGAAGCAACACGACTGCTGGCCGCTCTCTATGATACGCATGCAGGTGCCGAGATAAGCATGGCACTGATTCTGACTGTCTTTGGGACAGTAGCCGCCGTGGACAAAATCGTGCAGGACTGCCGCAAATCTGAAGTGGTTCGTCGTGACATGTCGAGCATGGCTGTGTGGAACGCATATCCCCATTTGGATGAGAGCCGAGTGTTTTGCCACAAGAAGCCGATACCAGGTCAGGTCGTACCGAGCATCGTTCCCCATTGATAGGATTGGCACACCTTCGGCTTGCCCTTCAGCTGCCACTGCCAAGGCCAGATATGTTGTTCACAGCATGTCGCACCTCAGCTGCGATTGGCAAAATCCTATGAAGGTCTCTGGAGCACTTGTGCTTGCTCAGCAGATCATGTGGGGAAGCTTTGCTGCAAAGAGTTTGCAGCCTCGCGGTTGGTATTTTGGCGAGAGGTGCACGAGCATTTTCTGTTGAGCCGTGCTCTTTCATTCATCTTCTCCTTGGCTAACTTCTGCCCTCAGCAGCCAGGATGACAGATGTTTGCAGCGCCTGAGGGGTACGTGGCTGAATGCAGTTTTTGAGCCAGTGGGTTTGGGACCGACAGTGTGGGAGCTGTGGCTGATATCAGGTCGCATCCAATGTGTGAGAACTCTGTTTCCAGCAGGACTAGGGGAAATGGTGACGTCATGAATTCGGCAGAGTCTGCTTGATTTGCGACACTGCAGAGTTTCTTGACGTCACAGAGCGGTTTCATTTTCCGCGGTGTCTGAGCTTCTCGCAGCCGAAGCGATGCTAGCAGCAACAGGACACCACAGGCCAGGAGCAGGAATCGCCATATTCGCCATTCACAAGCCTTGCATTGGCTGGCAGTGGCTGAGACTCAGAGAACCGGCCCTAGCATGCACGGAGGGCTTGTGCGCGGACACAAGCCGATCGTTTGTTTTCGGACTGATTGCCAGGCTTTCTTGAAGCCGCATGATGCTTGTGTTCCTGCGGTGGCTCAACAGTCTCGGCAATACCAAGATGCCCAGACTGTGCTGACCCTTCTCCAACTGTGTGCTCGGATTTCAAGCTGCTGGCTTGAGAGGGCCGCTTGCTGCCTTGATTCATGGAGTGTTGCTTGGATAAAACGGAGTGCAGTACCCTTGCCCTAGATACCAGCTGTGTATCGAAATCAGGGTCCTAGTTATGGACTTGCTTTCGCATTTATTCGGGATTCGTGGCTGGGATCTAAGCGCCGTTCGGCCGAACCTGGGCTTCCGGAGGTGGAGCGAGGAATAAGAATAAGATAGGAGCGCACAGGGGTGCGTGCTAAGAGGCCTGGAGGATGAAGTGCCATGCCGCGCGTGTTGCTCGGGAGAAGTCCTGCCAAGTGTTGCCATTGCTAAAGCATAGCAGGTGTGGTTTACTCAGATTCAGTCAGCGCTGGCTGTGTGTACTCTGTCACTTTCTTTGGTACATCTTCCGCGTGCACCATGCGTCTTCAACAGCGTTAGCTACAGAGACAGCGCATGCAGCAGCTGCGCCGAGAGATCGCACCTCTAAAATTCCAGGGCCATAGCAGTAGTCATGCAGGTGCTTTGGATGCATGCGGCGGAATAACTGTTCCGGTAGCATGTGGATCGGATCGGATCGGATAGGCATTCGCAGTCCCTCAGGGGACTGTAGTGTGCATAGTTTCCAAGCGTGAGCCTGCCGTTGGCCATGCTTTGGCAGCTGCTTCTGCTGCCCGCGGCCTTGGCGGTGCCGCCTACAGGTCCGCATGTCAGCTTCAGCTCTCTGGAGGAGTGCACCGCCGACTCTTGGAGCTATTTTTTGGCGTTGTTCTTGCTTGCTGTAGAATCAGCACAAGTCAGCGACGGGTTGTCTTGGCAAGCTGAGGAGTATGAGCGGGTTGCTGCCCAGTTCCACCATGCAGAGCATCGAGCACAGAGTGTCTCAGAAGGCACCTGTGCTCGGCTGTGCATTTGCATGCTTCATTGACACAGCCGGCGACCGACTGCTCAACGAGCAAAAATTCCAGCATTTGTCGATGCTAGCAGGCGATTTGTTGCCGGTCGGCAGTGATGGTTTCTACAAGGCAGGATGTGTTGCCCAACAAGGGTCGACAAGGCACTACCAACTAGACAAAGCAGTCCAAGCTCTGCAGGATAAAGAGCCTAAAGCCCTCTCCTGCCCCTTTATTGTCTGTTCTGTCAGAACTGCCCTCCACTGCACTGTCTTTTTTTTGGATTGGGTCGCAACATCTCCCTGTCGACGGGCTCAATAAAAGCCCTACTCCTCCAGAGATACTTAGGACAAGTCCGGTTTGGTTTGTGAAGCTGACGAGTCTGCTCCGCTCCGCCACGCCAGGCTTGCCTGCTGGCTTTGACTTGCGTCGTCGGTGCCGCTTTAGCTGCCGGCCTGACGATGGGACACTCGGCGCGTGACGGCGAAGTCGCCACAAACCTTTCCGGGGCCGGGGCCGGGGCCAGTCGGGGCAGTAAGGATTGGTCTCAATCGACCCCATGGAGATGGAGATCATCGTGAAGACGGAAGACAAGGCCGGGCAAGTCTTCGGCACCTCCTTCAAGCGGGCGGCCTGAAGTCCGTGACAGGATATCATGGAAGCTTCAGCCAAGGCGAAGCTGAGGAAGGACAGACCATGAGAGACTGGTGCATGGCATGCAGATGCATGCAGCAGCGATTGCTGTCTTGCTCTTTATGCTGTGAATGCAGCAAACTTCTCAGACAGAAGCCCCCAGCAAGTGATCTTCAGATTCAAGGATCAAGCTGCTGCTGAGAAGATCCTGCCACTGATTCACGACCATCACCTGCTGCTGGTCAGCGACTCGTGGTATGGTGAAGTTATTCTGCTTGTGCAGGATGTGTCGACCACCCGCACTTGGTGCAAAATCCGAAAACTTTGCAGCTCCGGTCCTCCCAGGTCACACTGCTCCTCATGAACTCGATTGCGAACGAAGCTCTTCCGCTGTTTCTGGATCAGATCGTGCCGTACGATGCCCAGACATGCTCCATCTCGAAAAAGTTGAAGGCTTGGCGTGGTTAAGGTCTTGGTTGGCTGTGGTGCTCTCTGTTTCCTTGGTGCTGATGCCACTGGCCTGAATTTGGGATGGGTGATTCGGGTGTTGCTGATGGGCCACATTTGTAGAACTACTGGGGTTTTCGACGAATGCAGGTTTGGCGAAATCATTCCCTCGGCGGTTTTCACCGGCAGCGAGCAGTTGAGCATGGCCGCAACCCTTCTGCATTTTGTTCGCTTTTTCCCTCGCGCGGTCAAAACTGCAACTGAAAGTCAGGCTCGCTTCTCAGGGCTGGTTAGTGCCCTGGCCAGTGACGTCCGCTTGAGAGCTTGTATGCAGGACTTCTGGTAAACTGGAGGCCTGGCAGACTCCTGACTCACCCAAGGCGCCTTCATGTTTCTGCTCAGCCCGGTGGCGTGGCCCATTGCTAAACTGCTGCTTGTCTGCAGCGGCCAGAAGTGCCCAAGACGCCGCGAGGGTTTCGGCTGGCTTTGCTTCGCTTGACTGCTTGTGATGCGAAGGCTTGACCATGTTCTTGGAGCAGACCACAAGGGACGGTACAACTTCGCCACCTCGCTTGAATTTAGCTCTGGCAAAACCCTGGACCAGCAAGCATATCATCGTTTTTTGTCTGCAGTCTGAGTCTAAGTGTTCCTCGGCATCTCCTTACGAACGTTGATCTTGCCTGGTAATAACCGCAAGCCCTACAAACTCTATCATCCCTAAAGTTGGTGAATTGCGATTGCTCTGGCGTCCCAGGCCGAGCTACGTGCGATCGTTTCGATGCACGCAGGGCTTCGAGTGGGCACCGAGGAGGAGGACCAGGCAGCGATCTTCGGACCCCGCCGTAGCGCCAGTAGCCGAGTTTGGCAAATTGGTGCCGGTATAAGTCGGCTAATGAAGTGCGCAGGCTGTATTCATGAGCCACGACGAGAAGGGCTTGGGAATCGTTTGCACTGCGCAGCCGCATCCCTTCAACAGCGAGAGTGCAGCAGCCGCCTTACGAATCTTGCGGCTGGCTCAAAAATGTGCCAAACTGGCGTGGGCCGACCAGGTAATTTTCACCGAGACCTCCGAGTTCCCTGCCAAGTCAACGAAACTTCAGGCAAGGACGGCGAGGGTCTGCAGGTTTCTGGACTTGTCTCGAGCCTGCCGGGCGAGGATGCAAGCTGTCCTCAGGTTGGCCAGGTGTACTACACCCTGCCCTGCTCACCCACACATCTGGAAGGTTCCGACACAGGCAGGCATGAAGCAGACGCTACACACGACTCGTAGACTAATGGTGAAAGGGCTCGGGGGCGAAGCTCTGCCTCTGCATCGTAGATCGTAGCCGATCTGCGGGCAGGGCATGACATGGCTTTCCAGCTGTACAAGACGAGGGACAGGAGTCGGGAGGACTTGACTCTCGGCATGGACCAACGTGCCAGACATCCGCTGTTTTGGAGAAGTCCATGACTGAGGATTACGTTTCTGCCCGGAGAGCTCACATCGGGTGTCTTCCGGCTACAAGAGAGAGATGAGACGGCGGCTTAGCATCTGTAGTTGGTGTTTGGCTGCTGCGACTGTTGCTGCCCTTCAGATGCCTGCGAGGATAAAAATCATGCATGGCGTCATGAATATGACGCACATGACTGCAGAGGAGGCATCGTCCTTGGTCATCGAGTGTCGGTGGACGTTCATGCAAGATGGGTCCGTGGGCCCTACGAAAGTATACGACCTCAAGTCAGACCTAAGGCCATGACTCCACTCAGTCAGGCTCACATGTGCAGCACTCAGCAGGTTGACGTCCTTGCTCGACGGTTGCTGTCGATGCGTCTGAGACATTCAATTGCCGGTTCCGGCCGATCAACTCTAAGGTTGGATGCGGACTCGCTTATCACGCACGACTCGCTTCGGGAGCGAAGCGTATGTCCCGTCAGTATACGCCTTGGCACAGAAACAGCTGCAGAGAGCATGTGATCAGGAGATGGATAACTTCGGCCACTCTCGGGTCCCAGTGTATGCCAGGCTCCTCTGCCACAAAACTGTGCTAGTGCTAGCGTCAGTTGTGGCGATGTGATTGACAATACCAGTGATTGCCGCCTCCTTCACGGCATGGTATGCTCGGGTGCAAGGAGTCCCCATGACGTGCGAGGGTTTATCCTGGTCAAAAGGCTCATCGCACCTCGGCAAAGGGCAAAGATGCAAGCCGAAGCTTTATCCTTTCTCGCCGAATGCTCTTAGGTTTTGCTACCGGATCAGCTGAATGGCTCGCTGTAGCTTGGCTCCCGTAGGGTGTTGAAATCTAAGGCGGGCATCTGGCAAACATGCACGTTTGTCGATCGGGCATTTTGAGGAAATTTGGGGACCTACATCTGCTCAAGATGACTGTGGTGCCTGGGAACATGCTCATGCTGCTCGGCTTTTCGCTGCACCTTCCGTGGCCGCATCCGATGACCGGAGAGTAAGCCATGCTGCCAGGTTGGACCTCCTCAACAAGTTTCAGGCTGGGAGTTTGGCGGCTGTAGTGAGGCAAAGAGTCACTTTGTCTCTGAGGAGGAGAAGTGTCACCTGGGGCTGGTCACCAGCAATCCGGAGGTGTGTCGACACACCCAGAAGGAAACACGGCCGGCTTGCCTGTGTCAGGCCGTTCAGGAGGCTTGGCAGACAGGGACACCCATCCCTCCAGCACCTTGGCAAAAGTCCTCCGTTCACCGCGATAATCGGCCTGAATTTTGCTCGTTTCCCAAGGACGTCCACATGAAGGGCATCATCACCCTGGAAGATGTTATTGAAAAGCTCATCCAGGCTGGTCGTCGTGCCAGGACGACAAACTTCAGCAATGTTTGTTGCCTGCTCTGCCAAGGAGAATATCGAAGACGAGAGCGACCGCGTTGAGCGTTCGGCAACCATGCGCAGTGATGCGCCCAAGCGATCCTTCTGGGACCTGGGATTCGCAGAGCCGTTTCACGAGGTCTCAGATCTGCGATGAACAGTTCCGGCAGCAGCAGCCCGAGAGCCCGAGAAGAGCTTCCGCGGAGAGCAGCGGAGAGCTCTGCTTTCGAGGCTCGCCTCGGCTCCCTTCGCAGCCGGCGCCACCGGTGACGAGCCCCAACTCCCTCCGGGTGGGGTGCCTCAGTGCCTGGGAGAAGTGCGCATTTTCCTACAAGCCGAGCCGCAAGTGAAGGCCCCCTTGCTCGCAAAGAAGACGGCGAAGGACAGTCGGCTTTCTCTGCAAAGCTGTGGTTCGGGCGAAATGCGCTGTTCTGCAGCCTTTGCATGTTTTTGATTGTCTGCGGGGGTTGTTAGGACAGGCTGGAAGTTCCGCATCAGCCTCGGATCTTTAGGATTTTGGGCGACATGTTACGGCACCGAATCTAAGATGTGGGGGCTTGCTCGCAAAACGGCACCAAGGTTCGATTCAACTGGCCAGGTGTGAGCAGCTTTGGGTGTTTTTTTGCTTCGGTCGACCTCGAAACAGGCACAGCGAGCGTGGTAGTTGTTTTGGCAAGTGAACTTCAGCTGCCCATTGGTTCTTATCGATTTTTCCATCTTCCCGAGTTCCTGAAGCTGAGCTTCTGGTGTGCGCCCGCAGTGGCGCAGGAAGCAGACAATGTGCTGCTGGAAGATGTAAGACTGCATGATAAAGAAAAGATGCAGCAAGAGCAAAGCAGGGAGAGTCTGCAGATGACAGGCCACACGTAGCTGCCTGAACGGCCTGTGAAACCTCAAGGGAGTGCAGTTCCGGTTCCGGTTTTTGAACGCTAGCAAGTTCTGCTCTCCCATTCCACTACATACTACCATCTCTCACTTAGTTGCACAAATCCCAGGCACATCCAGGCACAAATTCACTGTATCACTACCTTCTTGGATTCATTGTTCCGCACTGCCATGCTGTCACCGGCTTTTGCTTCGCCGCCCTCCTTGCCGACGGTGACAAAGACTCGGCGCGTTGGTGAGACTCCCGGATACAGGCTGTGGCACTAGATTTAGATCGTCTCGAGATGGCTAGGGGTAGCAGAAAGTTCCTGCATTGTCCTAGGTTCTACTTCGAGGAGCACAGTGAGCACAGCAACATGGCCATCGCAATCAGGCAGAAGAAAATGGAGCCATGCAAAACCAGTGCTGGAGCTTGATCTGCCGCTGGTCAGGCCGGTGTGCATGGGCAGCGCTTGGGATGTGTCTTGCCTCCGGACGATGGCAGGCCGTTGCCTGCAAACCTCCGCCAGTTCACATCTCGCATGTGTCTGCCAGTGCTGTCCTTTCGCCAGGTTGGCCTGCGTGGAGGGTCAGCTTCAACACTGAGGCCGGCGATTGCCCATGTCCTGGGCGTCCAGGCACCGGCAGCTTTTTGGGACCCGCTGGAACTCTCAGCTGACGGTGACGTGGCCCTTTTCAAAAGCCGAAAGGCTGCGTCTGTAGTACATGGCAGGATGTGCATGGTTGCATGCGCTTACGAGCTTGGCTGCCAGCGCTTCTCCCAGAGCTTTGTGGCCTGGGCAGACATGCCGGGTGCACTCCAGACCTGTACGGCCGAATTCCTTGCCTTGTGCGAGCTTTTCTCCCACAAGTTTGGCTGGCGCCAGCGGGCCCAGCCAGTAAAATGCAAGTCCCCGAATTCCGACCTTATTGCAGGTCGACTTGCCATGGTGGCAGTCTCGAGCCTCTGCTGTCAGGAAGCACTGGCTGACACTCTTGTCTGCTTGGATCTGTGGACAGAGCCCACAGTCTGATGTGAGATCTGAGCGTGTGGCCGCGACTTTTTCACCTCTTATGCTCGCTCGTGACGAGCTCCGTTTCATTCCAGACTTTTCCAGATTGAGTGTTGAGCTCAGTGGGTGTCAAGACGTCAGAACTCACAACTACAAGCAGGTCAACATTCGAACTCTGGCACTGTAGCTGCTGGTCGAGTGTCGCACCATGTCGCGCCAGATGCAGAGTTCGTTGTAGGAAAGCACTGCACTCATGCTCATGAGGAGAAAGCAGGAACTCTGCAGTTCTTTGGCTTCTCATTGGTCTTCGGGCCTTGATGGGCTTGGTGGAGTTTCATGTTAGATGGCCTCGGCATCGCATTCGGCAAGGCGCTTCAAGCGAACATCTAGTTGGGAGGGGATAAAGCCCGTGCGAGACCGGCAGGTTTCTCGAGTTTACTCCTGGGTTGCACGAAGCGAGCGAGCATCACGGTGTTGGTCTTTCAGTACCCCGATTGTCAATACTTTGTCCCCGACTTCGGGCTTATCCAGCTCTTAGATTCTTTTGCGAGGGCCAGCCCCGTAAAAACCCAAGAAGGACAAGTTTTTTTCGACGGAATAGTGCAGCTCACGCCCGTGAAATAGACTGGCAGCAGGCAGAAGCTTGTGCTTGTTCACTGAAGGTCGACCGTGAGATCGCCCAGCTCCTCTCGACGACCCCCTGGCTGCGGAGGACGAAGCCGAGGGAGCCGACGAGGGAGCCGAGGGAGGGCAGAGCGGGGCCGCCGCGCAGGAGCGACTTCGACTCGATGGTCCGGTGCGGCGCCCGAAGCGCCGAAGCGGGTGCCTGTGCCTGTGCCGCCTCCCCGCGCCCCTTTGCAAAAAGCAGGCAACACCTCCACGCTTTCCATGGCCTGGGCGGAGCGCTCCAGGCCAGAGGTTAAGTGCTGGCGGAGAGGTGCGCGAGGTTTCTTCAGTTTGGCACAGGTCCGAGCGGCCTTAGCCGAGGCTAGCCCTGCAACTTGCCCAATGCAACAAGTTGTTCCTGCGTCGGAAGCAGGCCTCTGCAACGCAGCCTTTTTGGGCACGTGGTTTCCGGGGCAAGCCCACTATCGTCTCATGTGTGCGACACCATGCACCCCATGTGGCGAGAGACGAGACTCGGTCATTTCATCATCTACATTTCATAGGGTCAGCATAGGAATTGAGTCATGAGAGAGCTGGGTGTTGAAACCAGTCGCCTTATGGGCGGCAGGTCAAACAAGGGCTCGACATAGACTTCCTTCTCCGAACTGCATGCCATGCATGCCGTTGCCGCTTGAGATGTTGCTTCATGATCGCGTTCTTTGAGCTGCTATGCTGCACGGAAACGCAATTGCGGATGCACCCCTGATGACTCTCTGCAAACCGCTGAGGCTGGAATGCTCCTGCACAGCGCCAGAAGAGGTGAGGAAAAACTTCTCAAAGACTTCGGTTGTGTCCCTGAAACACTCGTGCAGGTTGTCTTTTTAGTGGGCTCCGGCACTGCCCTCGGCAGCTGGGATACGTACCATGGCATCGTCCTGGAGACCAGCCTGCGCCCCAGCTGCTGAAGGGAGCTACGGATGTTGGCTCTATCCCGCTCGAAAGGTCCAGAGAGATTTCCTTGGTGGTACACCACCGGCCCAGTGGTCATCGAAAGTATGCATGCAGACTTCCAGTTCGCCATTTCAGTGGCTTGTCTTCTCTTGGGCTTTCTTGGCGTGTTCGCCAACCGGCCACGATAAGGAATTCTTGTCTGGTGTGCAGGAGTTATACGGCAGGAGAGAGAGTGTGAGCGGGTGCCCGGCCATTTCAGCTGAGGATCGCTCTCTGAGTGTAGTGCGGTGGGAGGGCTTGCCATACCATCGGCGGCTGCAGTGCCGGCATCTAAGAAGCAAGGACGGGTATGCCTCCTCCTGGCAAGCTCACAGCGATTATGGGGGTGCAGTGTGTTGACCGGACAGGATGGCCAGCAGATGGAGATGGTCTTTCGAGCGAGCTGGGAGGACCTATCTAAGCTTCTCTTGTGGTTACATGGAATGCCACGGACGAGAGGAAGTCCCAAGCTACAGCTGAGCACCTGAACTTTTTTGGTGAATACCACGCTAGAAACCTTATCTCTCCAGAGTCTAGACTCTAGACACCATCACCCTGGAAATCAAGGACCTTAAGGCCATCGATGCGGTATCATTCACCATATCCATGTGCGTGCAGTAGTAACGGACTGGTCTGGACTTTTGCAGGCCGCCCACCTGTATCCTCAACGAAGTGCGCCTGCAAGTTTTATTGCCCGTCTAGAGTCGCAAAGACCCCAAACCACGAACGGGCCGCTGGAGCTATGGAACCGCCGCCTCGCATTGTGACTAGCTTCAAAGATGTAATCGCCTACTCTGACCTCAAAGCCTGCCTTGTTTCACGGACGCGCGCATCCGACAATCGGATGCACATGGGCACCCTTAAAAGCTTCTCTGGTCAGTGTGTGTTCCTGTGTACACCTCGGAAGGATCCGAAGAGTACTGTGACGATCCGTCCATCGAAGCTGCCATTTTTGGAGGCGGGGCGAAGTTGGCTGTGTGAGTCTGCATGCCTCGGGCCGTAATTTAGACATCTGGGTTTCCTGGTCTGCAGAAGCATTGCCCGCCTCCACTGCGCCCACACTTGCCTTTCTGAGCCCATGCAGGCTCCGCCCGTGCCCGGCGCTTTCGAAAGGCGGGCGGAAGTGCTGGGTACACACCATGGCCAACAGAGGGCTCGTGCCCAGTTCCTTGGCCTGACAGACCTCCAAGTCTGTGTCGTGCATTTGTGCATGAGTTGAATCCCGAGGTCACGAGTGGCCACGACGGACGAACCTTCTGCTTTTCAGGGGGGTGCCTACGCAGACTCGGATCTGGACATAGTCGAAGAAGCTGGTCGTCTGCCGGAGGGCCGCATTGTAAACAACGCACGAGGCGAGAGCTTTCAACGAGGCGCTCTAGATACTGTCCGACCCGGCACTAGACATACTCGGGCTCATGACGGTCCCATGGCGGGTGACCTTGCGGCAGCCCCGCTGGCTGCAGCAAGACACAATGCAGATGACCCGGGAGAAGTGCAAACGCAGTGGCGGATGACCAGTTCACAGATGCCAACCAGAAACTACTCGGTAGAGGATGCTGCACGACACCGAACTGAAGGAGCCTCCTTCGCCGATGTGTCTGGCAGGCAACCAATGTCCAGCGCCTCGAGTGCACTGCCATCAGGGCGAGACTTCGTCGCCGCGGGCCGTGGCAGCAGCATGCGGCAGAGCCAGGGCAGCGCCGCCGACCGTGTGGGCGGTCTTCAACCTGGCCTCCTTTCGCCCGGTGTTGCTAGGCCCGTGTCGTCACTGGCCTCTGTGCCTCCTGCTGAGGCTGTGGAGGAAAGTAGACTTACAAGAGATGCTGCCACCATCGGATCCGCACAGGGCTTGCCGGCTCCTCCACCGCCAACGGCCAGGCATGTGAACAGGATGAGGGAAGTCGCAAGTGGGCTGAGCGATCAAACCACCAGGATGCACCATGCAGCACGTGCCAGCGACGGGGGCACTGGGTCCTCTCCGCAGAGGACGCGGATGAATCGAGCTGCAGACACCATCGATTCTCAGGAGAGTGCCGAGACAGCTGCACCATCTTTGCAAACTGCATCAGGTGCCGTCTCGGCACCGATGCCAGCGACCCTACCAGTGCCTATCGCACCGGTCAGCCGCGGCACAACTCGACATGGCAGCAGATTTGAATACAGTTCTTGGGAGGATGCACGTGCTGCAAATGGGGAGGCGGAGTTCCTCGCCAACTCTACACACTTCACGGACGCATCGGAGCCGGGTCGAGGCAGCACAGCGAATGTACCACCGAACCGCGCAAAAGCTGGCGTGCGGCGTCCTGCAATAGTGCCGCAGCCACCCTCCACTGTCCCGGTGCATGGAGTGTTAGGGGACATCGCAGGCAGAGATTCCGAGCACAGAGACCCCGCCACGCCACCGCCGACAGCAGCGGGCTCCACCGACCCCACACCGGCAGCGGTCAGGATACTGCCAGCCGCCGAAGCTCCGGGCAGCCAGGGCCAAAGCCTCAGAGTCCAAGACTACAGTACCTACAGCACTCAGGCGACACCTGGAGGCATGGAGCGCAGAGCAGATGACACTCGCCCTCAAGGAAGTCCTCAACCAGAAAGCCGTGCTGTGCCATTGTCGCCTCAGCGAAACAGGTTAATGAACTCTCGGCAGAACCGTGGTGCTGTCGGCATCGCTGCTCGAAGTCAAGCAAGTGTTGAGCCCAACCCCACCGTGGACTTGCGGCAATCACTCTCCGGCGCAGCCACTTCTGGCTACCCTCTCGTGTTGGGTGATGTGTCACAAAAACTTGAGTACGAGCCAGATGACGTTGGATCTGACCCAGATCTTGTGAGACATGCCGTGAATCTTCTGCGAGAGAACACGCGCGAAAGCCAAGGGCTGCGATCCCCCCTGCAGCCAACGAGATTAGTGAACTCTACACAGAACCGCGCAGGTGTTGCTGGCATTGCTGTTGGCAGTCTAGCCAGAGTTCCGAACCTTATGCCTGCTAATCAAGCGGTTGGCCACAGCATGCCGATTCCAACAGCTGTGCCGAAATCTGCAGACGACCCGACCGGCCAGGACTCAAGACTCGAGCAACGCAGCTCTCCGGCCGTGGCGAGTGTAAAACCAGACCAGGACAGAGAGTATCGGCCAGATGACGCTGGACCTGATCGAGGGAGCCATGTGGTGAATCTCCCGGGAAGAGGCACGACAGACAGCCGTTATTTGCAATCTCCGCTGCAGCCAACAGGGAAAGTCAACTCTCCACAGAGCCGTTCTGGCGTTGCTGCCCGCAGTTTTGCCAGTGTTCAGCCGATTGCCCACGCAGACTTGCGGCCATCCGCCTCACCTACTGCAACCTACACTGTGGATGTGGGTGTTTCGGTCGATGATGTCGCATGGAACTCTGCTGCAATAGACCATGTGCCGGCCAATCCTGGCCTCACTGGCCCCAGCATTCCGATTCCAGCTCTGCCCACACCTGCAGACGACCCCACTGGCCAGGACGCCAGACTCGAGCAATACAGCTTTCCGGCATTGGCTTTGGGGCGCACGGAACCCGACCGTGGCCAAGAGTACCAGCCAGATGACATTGGACCCGATCGACAGGCCGATGATGCGGCAGCGCCGGCAAAGCCAAGAGTCATGAGGGCAGCGGAGCCTGCTCTTGGTTGGCAACATGTAGGACGTACTGACGGCATCAAACGTCCTGAGGGCCCTCGAAATACCCCAGCGCTGTCACTGCAGAGTGCTGCCGCCTCTCATCTGCGCGGAGCAGGCACCGTGGGCACAACGGGCGCTTCGCCCGAGAGGCTTGGTTTGCGATCTAGTCTCCAGCGAAGCAGGTTAGTGACCTCACCACAGAACCATGCTGGTGTTGCTGGCGCTGCTCGCAGTCCTGTGGGTAGTCAGCCGAACGCCCCTGCAGACTTGCGGCAGCCGGCCTCTACGGCAGCTGCAGGCGTCAGTGCTGTGAGTACCGGTGGCCATCAAGAACGCAGGCGTCGCATACGTTCTCCTGGATCACCAGGGAACCCAGTCAGCCGCATTCCCAGTAATGGAGCGTCGAGCCATGCCGGCAATGCCATCGAGCGCCCGGGGACGAGTTCGAGTTCTCCTGCATCTACTCCTGCTGCAGACGGTGGTTGCTTGGCATGTTCGAGAGTAGCCGGAAGTATGTTAGAGATTTGTTTCTCAGAGCATTCATCCGACAAGACATTGATCAAGTGCTTCATGCGCTTCGGTAAATGACCATGACGACAGGCTACCTGGTTGACGGCACCGAGGCCAGCTCATGAGCCTGTGTGGCACCAGTGCATGCCAAGCCAAGAGCTGCGAGTGTTTTGGAGGCTCGGAGCTCGCGAAGCTCGCCGGTTGCTTTCAGCTGCTTGGATGATGCGGTGACAGTGCTCTTACAGGGCTCAGCCCCGGTTTGTCAGCAACCGCTTAGGTGCACCATCCCGGCAAGGTGCAAGGCGGGAGGGACCGGGGCTCCAGGGCTCACTGTGAGACTTTCTGAGCCCCGTCGTTTTGCACGCCCCTTCGAGGAACAGCTCGGGTCAGAGTGGCAGCTTGCACAAGGGCTCAGGTACAAACACTGAGACCAGCAGCTTAGTTAAAGCTTGGGTGCTGGTGCCACTTGCGGAAAAAGGAAGTTTCTTAGCTCCTGTGTCGGCTGCGTCCCAGGTAATGCCACACGGGGCGATGGCGCACCTGTCAGCACAGGCAGGGCCTCGCAAGTTACGTTCGGCTGACAGCAGCTCCACCCGAAGGTTGCTATGTGAGCTTGCCGGAGAACACCCGGCCGAACCTTGCGTTGCGGAAGAAAGCGGCTGGTGGGCCAGCGGGAGCCTTAGAGTAGACGGAACGGGAGAGAAGGCCTTGCTCCCGCTTTGCTGCTCCTTGGCTGCGACGCAGGCTGCAAGACGTGCAGTCGCCGAACGACCAGTGAAGCTCGGTCTGAGTTGCGTGCTTCGCGTGCCCTTCCTGTGCTGCACGTGCTTCGTGCTTGTGGAGGGGGTCTGAGCCCGGTGAGCCCGAGGCCTTCGTCTCCGATCCGGCCGGAGGTAGCCAGCGAGGTTCAGGACCGAGATCTCATGTCTTGGATGCTCCGGAGCCTTGCCAGCCGCGTGAATCAGAGTTAGTCTGGCGCAGAGCTGGATGAATCGCCTCATTTGCACGCAACAAAACCGAAAGTTGGATGCCGTAGCACTGCGGTACCTGACCAAGCTCACAAAGCAGCACGCACGGAATGCTAGGACGCAAGCCACGACGAGGAGGCTTCTGCTCCTGGAAACTCTGCAGCTGAAGACCGAGCCGAACAGCGGTCTTCGCAAGTGGCGCGGGGGCCCGGTGTTGGAGCTGAGCTCCCTGTCCCATGTTTTCCTGAGCCCCGAGCACTCTCTGAGGCTCCTGGCGATAGCGGAGCGGGTCGTTCGGAGCGACTTGTCGGCAGCGAAGGCTTCTTGCAGTTGCTTGCGGACTTGAAACTATCCTCTCGCCTGTCCTTCTTCACCGTTTGAACTTTGAGGGATTACGGGCAATCAAAGCTGCCCTGTGCACTGTCTGTGTGCTCAGGCCACGGCCGGTTACAGCCTTCTTCGAGCAGCTCGGCTCTAACCGAAAAGATGGGACGTTTGGAGCTGTGTTTTCTCAAGTTTGAAGACCGTGTCGTTGTTTTCACGGAGATAGCAACTGGATGTAGTACAGCGGTCGCGCGCGCGGGCGCGTGTGTGTGGGTGGGTGTGTCTGGGTGGGCGTGTTCCTGGTGCCGCTTGCTCCTGCAGGGTGGAGTGCTCCGAGACCGCGCCGGAAGAGGCTCCCCGGCCAAAATGTTCCAAGTGCAATCCTGTGGCCGGCAAAGCTCGCAGGCCCGTCAATACAGTAGCAGCATCGATAGGAAGACGCCCTAAAGGCTTTGCTAAGCAAGGCGCACAGCTGCATTTACATCGTTGAATTATCTGGACATATCTAGACAAGTGCGGTGGCATTCGCCAGAACCCCTTCAGGCTGTGTTCCTGGTGCTCGCACATTCTAGCGGCGGCGCATGGAACATCAACAGTGGGACAATGCTCGAGACAAGCACTGACCTCAGCGGCACTTTGAAGAGCTCTTGAGGCAGCCTCTAGGCGCAAAGTTGTTTGCTCAGTCTTAGTCGTATTCATTGCTTCATCCTTCTTGTTGGGTTGTGTCAGTGACCCTAATATGAATCGGAAGGCCAGTGCTGGATCTCAGCTGCAGAGACAAAAGCATGGAACTACTGGTCAGGCCCGGAGCGATTTCCATGCTGGTCAACGGCTGTGCCGATTTCAGTCGACGCTTTCTCGAAGATCGAATTCCAGTTTGCGATCTCGGAATCTCGCCTTCATTAATGCAGGCTCCTTAAAATTCTCTCGAGCGACACTCGCTCGAGGACCGTTCGCTATCGCAGCCCCCTCGATTTGAATGCCTGAACTGCCGGCGGCTGCCTCAAACCGAGGGCCAGGAGTTCTCTAAGCAGTGGTGTGCACTCTTTGAATACTTGCCGAAGCGACAGATGGAGCAGGACGGGCAAGCCTACGAGATTGTCTACCGCGGTGCATGGGAGGCAGGTTGAGAGGGCTCATATGTGAGCCACCAGCTTGCAAAACTGCGATGTGACATCACTGCAAGGATTCCCGAAACACAGTGACGGTTCGGCCGTCGACCTTGTCACCACTGTCGCCGGTGGGTCCTGAAGCACAGGCCGCACAATCGTATGGAGGTATGTAATGCAATTTGGCGGATTGCCCACCATTTCGGTTCTTGTGTGCCCGAGGCGGGAGGCATGGCTGTTCCGGCAGAACCGACAGCACGCACTGCGATTATGGAGGGCAAAGGTGGCCCAGGACACCAAAGTCCGGGGCAGTTCCCGGTCGCCGCAGACAGCACGCGAAGGCGCAGCAGTCCGGCCGGGTTTGCCGTACTAGTCGCATGAAGGTCGCTTGCCCGCCTTGGTCTTTCAAAGAGACAAGCCTCAAAGCAGTGAAGGTCCAGATCATTGCCGGAGACCGCATTTCTCGGGCCAGAGATCTCCCAGATTCCAGTGGCAGCTGGGCGGAGCTTATGGGAGCAGGTCTAGGAGTGTAGGATATTCTAGGATCACCAGGAGGTCAGACATGTCGTTTCGCAACACTGCAGAAGTGCCAGCTTTCCAGGTCATCGTCTCCTCGGAGATCCTTCCCTGGTCGAACTCGGGGGGGCTCGGGCGCGTCACGGCCTCCTTGGCAAGGCCCATTCCCGGACACCGAAGCATTGAAGATGATGGGAGCATTGGGAGCCTGAAGCTGACAGCCAGCAAAACCGTCCAGCCCTGCATGGGGTCCGGTGTGAGGCAGTTTGCGCTGCGCGGCCACCGGACCTTGCCGCTCGGCCGCAGCTCCTCGCGGCCTGCAGCTGTTCTTTTGCTTCGGCTTCCACCAGGGCCATTTCTCCGATGTACACGAAGCCACCGCCGGAGGATGAATTCACCTACTTGGGATCGGTTCCTCGGGCTGCTCTTAGCCTTCCCTTCCTGTGTGCCCTTCTTCCTTCCTTGAGGCTTGGGTAAGGCTGGACCAGATGGACCATGAAGTGCGCTGCATGCAGCTTGTCTGAGCTTAGCTTCCTTTTCACTCCTTCGGCGCATGCGAGCCTCGAGCTCGAGGCACAAGTTTATCAGCCTCGGCGACGGAAAAGGATGTGCAGCTTGCCTCTATCCAGTGCATGGGGCAGTGGGAGCGCGGCTGGTCTGCCTCCCTCTCGCATCTGGAGGATTATGTATTGCTGGACCACGGCTGCTATCAGCATCGGCCAAATGGCCTCTACTGCGACTCGAAGCCACTGGCCTGCATGGATTTTCCAGATGCCGTGCCGGGTATACTGGGAAGGTCATGACCTAAGTAAGGGAGACTTCCAGCGCGCGTGACTTCAGGACGGGCCAGGACTACGGCGACAATCTGTACCGCTTTGCCATGCTGTCGCTGTGCGCTCTCGAGGTGGGCGGCATGTGCTGTTTGGTAAACAGTGGCATGCAGGGCTAGAGAGAGCGAGGCAGAAAGAGCGGGGCGCCACAGCAAAGAGTAGAACAGGGAATGAAGGACGGATTCCCTCCACTTTTTCAATCAAGGGGCCTCGAGCTTACAACTGCCGCCGTATGTCCTTGAACCCCGTCAGGTGCCCCTGAGACTGAAATTCAACAGGGTAGCCTACGGCCAAAAGGTGACTTGGAGGCACAAAGCAACTGACATCTCTCATCTATGAGAACGGCTCGCGAAGCAGAATCGTTGAGTTCTTCGCCCTGGAGTAGCCCAGGTTGCTTTCATCTCCAACGACTGGCAGGCAGGTCGCTCATGGTGAGAGCCATCGTCTTCGTTGCGCCAGCCTCCGATATGGTAGGCGGCCTTGGTTTCGGTCTTCTTGGCCCACCGCTATCGCCGCAACGGTCTCTACCGGGATGCCAGGCAGCGGGTACGCACATAGTGCCGGTATATCTTGGGTACAGAAACTTGGAGAAAGATCGCCTGCTTGCACTTCCGCTTCTTAAGTCGCAGGAACATCCACATCATCCACAACTTGGGCCGCTTGTCTGTATCCAGACTTGTCCCTTGAGAAACCTCGAGGGGTCTAGCACGACAATGCCTGCGTAGTTGGCTTCTTGAAAACCAAGATGTCTTTCAGTTCAAGGCTTCCAGGGGAAGTTTTCGTCACGGCGCTCCAGTGTGAGTACGCTGCTTGGGCTCGGCAAAGCAGCTGCGCTTGACCTGACGAGGCCTCAGATTCTGCGACTGTTTCAACTTTGAAACCTCCCAACCTTCTGAAGCGACCGAAGAGAAGCTGAGGGCCAAGGACGGAGATCTGAACCTCTGCAAGGGGGCGATCCTTTGTAGCGACCGGGTGGTCACCGAGCCTAGGCTGCACAAGGCTCAGAGACCTTTCGCAGTAGACCAGAAACGCACAGGCGTATTATAACAAGAACGCTCATTTTCAGGAGATTGGCACAAATAACCAGACGAACATAAGAGCGTGGACCGTGCATCGGCGTGAAGGTTGGGGTGATTCTGCTGGATACAACTGCATCGCTGCATGCAGGTGTCTCGCAATTATGCCATCGAGATTCAGACGACTCAAGGCTCGATGGAGCTTCTGTAGCTAGAAGACAATCGAATCTTTAACTTTATCCGCTATTTAAAACACTGAAGCTGCAAACCCAAAATCTCACATTGCCGCGATCTTGGCTTGGGCGGCTCTCTAAACACACGAAGATTTCAAGAAATGGCACTGGCCAGAGATTCCGCCAAGCAAAGATCCTGCAGGTGGATTCGGGCTGGACGGCTTCCTCGCCCAGAAGGCGATTTCAGATATTCCGCGCCGGCAGTCGCAGTAGCTGCATGGGAGGTTGTGATGGGCAGGGCAGGGCTTCTTCACAACCAGTTCCGAGTCTGGGCCAGTGTGCGTCACCTTGTGAAGACGTATCAGAAAGAAAAATATGCATGCGGACTCATGTGAATACGTTCTACTCGCCTTGTGATCACTATGTCAGTGGTATAATCTACGGCTGCACGACTATGTTGCTTTTTCAAGCTCTTCGGGATTGCTATCCCAATCCGTTAAACCGTGTACTCCATTGTTTCGTTTCAGTTTCCTTCATTCCGACCGACCGTACATAAATGTATGATCTGTTATTATTTCAGAATGTGATTTTATTGTCGATTCTTTAAGGTGTTATTTCCCCGCTACAGTGTCTTTCACAATACCTGCTTGTATGCCAGTTCGTTGTATCAGTCTAGTTTTAATGCAGCGAGATCGAGATGCAGCTAAAGTTCTAGTTCTACTCTGTCATATTGTTGTTCAAAGATATTGTTGGGATCCTGTGGTCGTACAGATTTGTTGCGCCGTTACGTTGTATTGTCTCATGGTGCCTGTTGAGCCGTGCAGAACTATTGCACTGTTCATATTCTGAGAGCTGCTGGACTCTTGCGTGTTTTGTGCATATACTTGTCGACGCCTGAGCAGCAAAGACCCCTATTTCTTGCTTCTGCATTTCGCAGTTTCGCTATCGAGGGCGTAGTTGCCAGGCCAAGATGCTACGCCTCGTGGGTATTCAGAATGCCTTGGATGATGAGTGGGATCCCCGCACCGTGCCGTGGCTCGAACCAGCCAGATCGCGAAGCGACGAGAGTTTTTCCAGTCCAGAAACTGATGAGAAACATTAGCTCTCTGCTCCTCTGTCCATCTATCCATTTATTCATTTATGCATCTATCCATATGTCCATCTATTGGTCCATCTATCCATCGATTCAGTTCATGCATCCATGTATCCGTCCATGCGTCCTCTGTCTATCCGTTTATCCGCCTACCTGTCCATCTATCCCTGTATCCATCTTTCCATCCATCTAGCCATTTATCCATGCGTCCGTCCATCCATCCATCCATCCATCCATCCATCCATCCATCCATCCATCCATCTATTTATCTATCCCTCTGTCGACCTATCTGTCAATGTGTCTGTCTGTTCATCTGTTTGTCTGTCTGTCTGTCTGTCTGTCTGTCTGTCTGTCTGTCTGTCTGTCTGTCTGTCTGTCTGTCTGTCTAGCTATCTCTTTATCTATGTCTATCTCTATCTCTATCTCTATCTCTATCTCTATCTCTATCTCTATCTCTATCTCTATCTCTATCTCTATCTCTATCTCTATCTATCTATCTATCTATCTATCTATCTATCTATCTATCT